CCCTAGCAAGTGGCGGCTGAGGCGAAGATGAACAACGATGTTGATGTGGAGAAGGAAGAAAGCGCAAAGGACAGGACAAACAAGTAAATGAAACGAAATGTAGAAATAATTGATTTGATAAGATAGTTTGCGGCGAAGTAGCGTCAATTTGCATTTGCGACAGAAATATCTACTGCAAATCGACTTCAAAATTTCCGTCGATATTTTCTACAAACAATATTCCGCCATAAAGTCCACTGCAAAGCCGCCACAAACAATTGACTTTCTTCTAATGAATTTATTTATTTATTTAGAGTAAATTGAGCATTACTTCTTGAGTTAACTCATTATATTTTATTATATGAGATTATAGTTGCAAAAATATTATACAGAAGTATCGATAATTTTATTTCTCAAATAAGCTTATTTTTTATATTTGGAGTTATGGATTCATTTAATTATTGACCCCTCATGTACAATTTTTATTTATAGCTAAATAAGAATTTAAAGACAATGGAAAATAAAATAATATAATGTAAATCTTTGAGAAGTTTAATAAACGATTTGCTTGTTTCGTTAATTTTTTTAATTTTGTTCTTTTGCTTTTTGTTTCTGTGAGGTAGACGAGAACATGCCAAATTATTTATTATATTGGATGGATGACGAAGTTTAAAAAAATATATTAAATATAAATTAAAAACCATTGCTAATTAAGATTAGCGGAAAATTTGCTTAAAACTGCTGGACAGTAAAAATGACAGATAAGTGAGGTGTTGGTCTGTGTGGAATCTGATCGAATCGATCAATCGAATTATCATTTTACCTTTGATCTTAAGTCAATTTTTCATGCATGTTGGGCGCAACGGTGCGGGGTTCCTTCCCCTGCTTGGATTTGGGTACTTTGCACATAAGATTTTCTTTCCAGACAACGTCCCGACACTATATAACCGAGTGCCTCAGTGTTCTATTACCGAGCGCCCCGATGTTGCAAAATTTGCCAAGAGAAATGATAGATAGCAAAGCACCACAACGCTCTAGATTTGGCCCCACAATGTTGTATAAGTGTTGCAATGTTGCGGGTTTAAGTGCCACAACGCTTCAAGGTGGACTACATAGTTTTCTTTCTCGTTTTTCTCTAGGGTGATATCCCTTTGTGTTATTTACTTGTTTTTTTCGTGTTTTGTGAAAGAGAATGTTGCAAGCACGGGCGGAACCCCCTTTTGCTCAAGGGGGGCAATTGCCACCCCTAAAAAAATTATTATATAATTATTTAGGTAATTTATTCCCCTCAATCTATTTATTAATCTTTATTACAAAGGTTTTTAGACAATTCCCCCACAACAAAAAAAGTTTTAAAATACTATGGTCATCAGACAATTACCTCCAGCAAATAATAACAAAAATTCATCATTTTATTTATTAATTTGAATTCCAAAAATATCCTTACAACCAAAATTTATTTCTTCATAAAACGTCCCGGAGCTACGTACCCGAGTGCCTTGGCGTTGTGTTCCAGAGCACCCCAGCGCTGAACGATAGAGAGGAGAGCACCGCAGCGGCCTAAATATGATATAGAAAATTTATTGTGTAAACGCTGAACGTCGTTAGGAGACCAACCAGAATGCGCCACATCACCCTAAGCTTGGTACCGTGGCTCGATACCGCTTAGTACCATGGCTCGGTACCGTGCGGTGCATTTTTGTTGGTCTTCGGACGACGTTCTGCGTCCGGTCCTCCGCATAGAATAATTTTCTTAGATATGAATATGCAACGGTGCAAAATAGAGGCTTGAGCGCCACAATGCTGTGATAATGATTGAACGGTTTCTTTCTTGTTTTACTGAAGGGTTGTATTTCTTGGGGTAATTTTAATTGTCTTTCTCTTGTATTTTGAGTAGTTAGACATTAAGAATTATACATGAGATAAGGGAAGCATGGAGAGAGAGAATAGCGATCTATGATTATTTTTTCTAATTTTCAGTGTGAATTTTCTCCTGAACCCCTAACAATTGCGGTGTTTTAACTTTTTTTTTTCATATTGACTTTTACCAAGAAAAAAAAAGGTCGGCACAAATGTTAGACCGTAGCTTCTTGGTCCAGTTGAACCGGGATAATTGTGCGTCTGCCCCATTAGAAGAATCCAGAACGTGGTTGTCGATCCATCGTGCCATCGTGGTGACCGCGCCTCAGTCTTTGAGTTGGTCAAACATTATTTTAGGAAGGAAACAAAAAGCGAGAGCAAAAATAGCAAGACCGTTGGAGGTAATGGACAGGCGGTGCGTGGTTGAATGTTGACCGCATCAGACCGCACTTCTTGCTTCGATCGATATGAACCCGGTTTAGTTGGAAGGCCCGCCGAGCCAAGTATTTATTCCAAAACGGTTAGGTTATATTGTATATATAAATTTAGAATGTGCGAGAATGCGTCACATTAGCGGTACCGAACCGCAATATCAAGCAGTACCGAGCCGCAATACTGAGCACATGGGTGACATGGTGCATTCTGATTGGTCTCTGGACGGCGTTCGGCATCCGCACAGAATCATTTTTCAGAATTAGGGAAATTATTTGGTGCAGAGGCCGGACACAGAGCGTCATCTAGAGGCTTACCAGAATGTGCCACATCAGCAGTACCGAGCCGCGATCGCGGAGCGGCAACAGCGCGCGCATCGAGCGAGCGCGGGCGGAGCGGGCGCTGCGCAGATGCGACCGCGCGAGCGCGGACGCGATCGGGTGCGAGCTCGAAAGCGGGCTGGCTCGGACTCGGACTTCATGTTTCGGGTCAAATGGGTTGACCCGGCAACCTGTCGGGTCAACCCGAACCCGATCCATTTTGAAATCGGGTCGGGTCCAACCCGATTTTTTCGGGTCGGGTCTGGGTCGGATTTTTGACTTTTCGTGTCCTGTCAAATATTGACACCCCTAATCTTATTACTTAATTATTGGTTGGGATTTTTAATAAAGCTTCTCAAATCACCATCCAAATCAGGACAAATAAAAAATAATTTTGACTTCTCACACTCATGGGAGTTCATCTAGATTAACGGGTCGAATTTTAGTTTAATTTAAAATTTATCTATTTATTACACGAGTCAAGATATTTGATCAGGATCCTGCTTGAAATGAACCTGCCTATGATGAACCTGACTCGTTTATTATATAGAATATATTATTTTTAGATCAACATGACTCATTTGACCAGACAATTTCTCATTTAACCCAAACTCATCATATTTGTTATTAACCCAAATGATAAGACCACAATTTGGAGTCAATTCAGCATTTCGAGCAATTCGATCCAAACCTGATTTTTAATCGGTTCAGTCATTCACAATCCTAAATACCATTCCATTGAAATTGTTGGATATTGATCTAGATTTCAGTTAGTTTCCCTTTTGTACTTTCTTCAATTTTCTTGTATGACTTATATTGTCATTGGTATAGTCATTGTTGTCTATAAATAAGAGCAATAGAATGTAATAAGAAGCATGATTAAACAATAAAAATTCTAATTTTTGTTCTCTCGCTCAGTCCCTCTCCCCTTCTGCCGCTCTCTCTCCCAAGAAGCTCAAAAAGAAGAATTTCTTCCTCGTTCAAGATCCTAAGGGCATCTCCAACTGAAACTCTCATTTTTCACTGCAAAATGCAGTAAAATCAAAAAGTGCCGTGATTCATCTCCAGTGGAACGTCATTTTGCCCCGAAATCAACGTCGTTTCTTTCGCGCCTTTCTCAGACTGAGTTCGGTAGAGAGAAAGAAATTGCGAAAGTACGTGAACAGTGCGACGCCAATATTGGCGTCACACTGTCATCAGCGACTGAATGCCGGCAAAAATGGAGTTCAGTTGCGACATCTGAGGCTCTCCATTTGTCTATTTGCCGAACGGCTGGAGAAGCTCTAACAAAAATAATTTTGGTTGGAGAAAGTGTTTTTACTTCATTTGGCATTTGTCATTTTCTTTCATAGTTATTTTTTCTTCAAATTTCCTATACCTTATCAAGGATTGATTTAGCGTAATGTATGTATTTTATTTTGTCTTATTTTTTGACTGATATATTTGCAATTGCCTGTTTGCATCTTTTATAGTATAACTGGATAGAATATTTTAATTATAAGGATGCTGTAATTACCAATGCATCCCATCTGTGATGGTTTGCATATCGACACCTGGAATTGAATCAAATTACATGGCTTAATATAGATTGCACGTATGAGCCAAAAGTGACATCAAACATAATTTTGCCGTCTAATGCAAGGTTTAAGGGGTGACTGCAATATTTTATAAATTATTTTGTAAATAATAATTTTAATTACAAAGAATAGATTTCTATTATATAGATTTTGAAAAGAAGTGAGAAAGAGACAAAATAATAATAATCAAATGAAATTGTAATTGCTATTTGAAAAAACAAAGCAGTGAAATAGTTATTTGAAATAGGTCCTTAAAAATGATTTGAGCATAATTTATAATTTAAAATATTTTTCTCAGAATTAAATTTTGAGATTATTCTTATTGGCTTTTAGATAGTCATATTTGATATATCATCAAAAATTTATCTTGATCGGGCACGAATATCGATGCAAAATTGAGTTGAAAACTTCCAAAATTAAATCGGAGACCATCTGAATTCTGATTTCAGCAAATTTATAGTTGAACTAAGTGTCTCGGAAACACAAACCCAACGACACCAAAATCGACCCAATCCAAGCCCAAATGAGTCCAAATCAAATACTTGAAGCACTTTTGGAAGGATAAAACCATAATTTGGGTTACCAAACAATCTTCAATCATGACATGCTTATAATCGAATCAAGCGGATCGACGAGACGAATCCAACGAGCCCAAGATCATCAAATTCTGATATCATTAAGATAGTCAAATATCAATTGAATGGTGCATGATTGTAGGAATCAAGATCGGTCGTCATCCGAATCACTCCCAATTTACCCTTGATCATCAACTTATTTACAAGTTATGTCACTCAAGAATTCTATAAATTGAACCTCATTTTCTCTTGAAAAGGGGGGAGAAGCGAAGAGAGAAGTTGGAAGAGAAGGAAGAAAGCTCCAGCCACCTAGCTCCTCCTCAACCACCGCCGGGATCTGCTGCACCACCGCCGGACCACCAAGGGACGTCGAGGTTCTGCTGCATCACCGTCGGAGTTCTTCCGCACCACCGCTGGACCACCAAGGGACGTAAAGGTTCTGCCGCACCACCGTCGGAATTCTACCGCACCACCGTCAAACCACCAAGGGATGTTGGGATTTTGCCGCACCATCGCCGGACCACCAACGAATGCCGGGGTTCTGACGCACCACCGTCGAACCACCAAGGGACGTCGGAGTTGTATCAAACCACCATCAGACCATTAAAGGACATTAAAGTGCTACCCGAAGCTGGAGTACCCCCTGACTCTGAAGTGTCATTGCCGGACCACCGCCTGACACCAAAGTGCTGCTGGACCACCACCTGACGTCGAAGTGACACTGGACTTTTGCGAAACTTTCAGTTTACATTTGTAATCTTGTCATCTTCATGGACGAGTCAGACTATTGTATTTTACTCAAATTCTAGTGGAATCATTTTTAACTGGGCTAGGCCCCGTGGTTTTTTCCCTTTCATGGATTTTCCACGTAAAAAATATTGTGTTCTGTGCGTGAGCTGGATATTCGTGCAACGCTAAGACGTAGAATTATAACTCTATCGCTGTGTATGTTATAGTCTGCAGCAATATTAATAGAGAGAGTATAAGGATTCATTTGGGATAGTTTTATTACTGTTTTGTTTTTTAGAATACAATCACAATTTTTGTTTTGCCATTACTTTTTCATTGCTTTTAAAATGTTTTGTTAGTGGACATCAAACGTTTGTCAAGCTAGGAAAGATTACGAGAACATCGAGATGGTCATCTATTCTTAATGAATTTTCCAGATATGAAAAAGTTTGTATGATTTTGAAGTTCAACTTTAGATACGGAATAAAATTAAGATTTAATTATAGATTTTGAAAAGAACAACTTAATGTTTATTTGAAATTATATAATTGATATGTCACCAAAAAATGTCTTGATATAACACAAATATCAAGGGATATCTTAGTTAACTACTTCCAAAATTAAATTCGGGATCAACCAAATACCAATTTCAGCAAACTTACAATTAAAGTAAACATCTCAGTATGATGAACCTAACAAAATCGATCTAGGCTCAAATAAAGGATTAAAGTATATTGGAAAGTTTTAGATCATTAATTGGATGATAAAATGATATTCAAATATAACACGTTTATGATCGGATCGAGCTGCTTGATGAGACGAATCCAACGAGCCCATCTCTTAAATCTCACTTCATTGCATTACTTAAATGATGAACAAACCTGAAACCCACCATGATCGAGGGGATCAATATGGATCATTCAATTGACCACTATGAATTTATCCTGGATCTTCTCCATAATTACAAGGCATGTCACTCTCAAGATTTACCCTAGAGACTTAAGAGTATTCTGAGGCTTGAAGAATCTCAAAGCTCCACCATGGAACCAAGATCGGTGAACCTGCACCACCAGGGCGCCACTGCTGAATCTTTGCCCGACCATCATCATCAAACCTCCGTCTCGTAACCACCACCAGGCATTCCTCCGACCACCATCATTTTTCAAGTACGATCCCTTCGACCACTATTTCCTGGTGATTATGATCCCTCCGCCATCTGTTGCCCACCGATTATGGTCCCTCTGACCACCTTCAAATGCCATCTAGGTCCCTCCGACCTTTGTCACTAGCCAACTACAGTACCTCCAACCTTTGTCCCTCGTCAAATACGATCCATCTGAACACCGATGCTCACTAACTATATATGGTCCCTCTAATCTATGTCGCATATCGACTACATCCTTTAAGACCTCTATTGCCCACCGACGACGATCCCTCCATCCTCCATCTGCGAACCAGAATCCCTGCAACCTCGATCAATCGTTGACTATGGTCTCTTCAACCTTGGTCACCAGCTAACTACGACCTCTTTAACCTCGATCACATAACAACGATCCTTCGACCTTTGTTGCCTACCAACAATAGTCTCTCCGACCTCTATCACCCGACAACGATCCCTTCGACCACTGTCGCCCACCTATAGCCTTTCCAATCTTCGTCACTTGCCCACTATGGTCCCTCCGATCTATGTCACCCAAATAAAATCCTACCAATTAAATAAACAAGCTAACACAATCTTGAGAAAATTTCTCATGACATTAGATTATTCTAGCCCCAATCATGTAAAATGATCCATATGATGTATATTTGCAACACTGAGTCAGCGCATTCCCCTAAGGAAAGGCATCATTTGTAATCAACTACAAACACTAATATAATCATTTTGATGGATCAAGCCCTATAATTTTTCTTCTTTTAAGAAAAATTCACATAAAATTTTTGGTGCTTCTTAAAACTCTTGCACCTCTCTCATATATTTGTGTCCTGGATCTCCGTATAAAAATATGATACTAAATTCTATATCTTTCTATTGTCGTGAATATTTCATGATGCAACAACAATAGTATTAATATATTTTTCATCAACAACAAAGATATTAGATTTTGTCACATATGTAAAAAAATAATCAGATAATGATGCTCCTAAGTCACATAATTTAATAACACAAAACAACATCAAAATAGTTATAAGATTTATTTAAATAAATATGAAATATTTAGTTTCAAAATATAAATTTGATTAAATTAGATAATTTTCCAAGTAAGTAAAATTGTACCAAAAAAACAAAAAATAAATAAATATTTTCTTGCTAAACTTTACCATTTTCCATTCAAAAATTTCCTTCTTTTTTAGGGGGAAGAGGGATTTAGCTAGGAATATCTTATTCCCCTCAAATTCTTAAGCAGTTCGATTCAGCCCCCGCATTTATAGGCATTTTAATCCACCGCACTTCGGTCTCTCTCTCTCAATCAGATTAAAATTCTTGTTTCCGCAGTAAAAATCCGGCCCCGGAAGATCCAAATCCAATCATCCAAATAGTTTCTAGTTTTACGGCCCCCACGCTCTATCTCTCTCTTTTTCTCGTGCAAATGGAGCTTGTTCACCGACTCACCCCTGGCGGATTTCCTGCTAACTACCCACAACCTCTTTGTCCTCTTAGAAATTCCTAATTTTCTTTTATTACCCTCACTTCACCGCTCTTCTTCCAGTCCATTATCATAATCCCTAATCCCTTTATCAATTCAAATCGGCCAATCCATGATCGCCCTCCCACGCCTTTGACCTTCTCCTTCTCCTCTTTTACCAATTCTTTCATCTCACCAGTCTTCTTCCGTTCTGTTGACCCCTAAAAACGCAATCTTGATCCAATCCCCAATTTATTCCATGCCCTTCTTCTTCCTCTAGCTGCGGCCATGGCTACAGAGCGGCCTCTCCTCGACCTCTCCCCTCGCCCCCCAAACCCTGCAGCTGATATCCTCAAACCCATCCCTTCCTCCCGTAGCTCCAGACGCTCCCGCGGCTCCCGCGGCTCTCTTGACCGCATCACTTTCGCTCCCCCACCAACGGTTATTCGTTACGGCTCCCGTGCGGAATCTGATCGTGCAAACGCCTCGCAGAAAGATATACCTGACGAGGACGCGCGCCTCGTGCGTATCAACGACCCAACTGGCACCAACGAGCACTTCGAGTTCTCCGGCAACTCCATCCGCACCGCAAAATACTCAATCCTCACCTTCCTCCCACGCAACCTCTTTGAGCAGTTCCACCGCGTTGCTTACATCTATTTCCTCGTCATCGCCATCCTTAACCAGCTCCCTCAGCTCGCCGTTTTCGGTCGCGGGGCTTCCATCCTCCCTCTTGCTTTTGTTCTTTTCGTCACCGCCATCAAAGACGCCTACGAAGACTATCGTCGCCACCGTTCCGACCTCATCGAGAACAACCGCACCGCCCAAGTCCTCACGGCCGGCGATTTCCGCCCTAAAGGATGGAAGGATATCCGCGTCGGGGAGATCATTAAGGTCCAATCGAACGAAACCCTGCCCTGTGACATTGTCCTCCTATCCACCAGCGATCCGACCGGCGTCGCCTATGTACAGACAATAAATCTCGACGGCGAGTCAAATCTCAAGACCCGGTATGCCAAGCAGGAGACACTTTTCCGAACTCCGGAGAAACAAGGGCTCACTGGGTTGATCCGTTGCGAAAACCCTAATAGGAACATATATGGCTTCTATGCCAATATGGAAATTGATGGCAAGCGAGTCTCTCTCGGCCCCTCGAATATAATTCTTCGAGGATGTGAGCTCAAGAATACTTCTTGGGCTGTTGGGGTTGCTGTTTATGCTGGTAGAGAGACGAAAGTGATGCTAAACAGCTCAGGATCCCCATCCAAAAGGAGCCGGCTTGAGACGCATATGAACAGGGAGACCTTTCTTCTATCTGCTCTTCTGATTGTACTGTGTACTTTGGTGGCTGTTTTTACTGGGGTATGGTTGGCAATTCATAAGAGTGAATTGGAGTTGGCTCAGTTCTTCAGGAAGAAGAACTACTCCAACCATAAAGGAGACAATTATAATTACTATGGGATAGGGATGGAGGTGTTTATTAGGTTCCTCATGGCAGTGATCGTGTTTCAGATCATGATCCCCATTTCTCTCTATATTTCTATGGAGCTTGTACGGCTTGGACAAGCCTATTTTATGATTCAGGATTCTAATTTGTATGATGAGACATCGCATTCGCGATTCCAGTGTCGAGCTTTGAACATAAATGAGGATTTGGGTCAGATAAAGTACGTGTTCTCAGACAAAACAGGTACTTTGACAGAGAATAAGATGGAGTTCCAGTGCGCTAGTATTAGTGGAATTGATTACAGTAATGGGAAAGCTTCGGTCCCTGATGATCGCGGAGTCTATTCGGTCATAGGTATTGTGTCCTTCATGTCCTTTTTTTCAGAGTCGATGTCTGTCAATTGCTGGTTTGATTCTTGGATAGCATCTTTACTTCTGTTGTGTTTCATAACAGTTGGGGATCAGTATTGGAGGCCGAAGATGGTAGTAAAAACTGATCCTGAGCTACTGAAGCTTTTGAGAAACAGGAGGAATACGGAGGAAGGAAGAAGTGCTAGTAATTTCTTCTTTGCTTTGTCTGCTTGCAATACTATAGTGCCTTTGGTTGTGGATACACCAGACCCAGCGCAGAAGTTGATAGATTATCAAGGGGAATCCCCTGATGAACAGGCGCTGGTCTATGCAGCTGCTGCATATGGCTTTGTACTAATTGAACGAACTTCTGGACATATAATAATTGATGTTCTTGGAGATAGACAGAGGTATAGTGCTTCACATGGTATATTTTGCGCTTATATTGATTCATTTTTCTAGCTTTAGTACTTTAGAGGTGTTGGGGTGAGCCATTAGGGCATCTCCAACCGAACTCCAAATGCTTGAATGGCGTTGCTCGCGAGCTCCAGCCGAATGGTAAAACTTCCTCTATTTGGTTGCGGGTGAACAATGTTATTTTTCTGTCTTTACCGAACTTGCCAAAGAAACGTGCCAAAGAAGAAAATGACCGTTACCTTCGCAAAAGGGGGCAAAATGGAGTTTGGTTGGAGATGAATCACGACATTTTTTAGTTTCACAGCATTTTGGAGTGAAAAATGAGATTTTCTGTTGGAGATTCCCGTAGCATCTATTTCCCATTGGTTTTTTTGTTGTGGTAGCTATCTTCTTAGAAAATGTGGTTTGCTTCTTGACATCAGCGTTGGTATTGGTTCTGGTATGTTAGCCTTTTTATTTCTGGGTTGGTTCTATATTGTTAAAAATATATCTTTAAGGAGTAGTTGTAGCTTTTTTTGGCCGTGGGGGTGGTTGTTTTCTTGTCTGCTTTCTCTTAGTTGTAGCTGGAAATGTACAAACTTGATTGAGTTTATATTAACAATTAAAAGGTATATGACCACTGTCATGATTATAATCTAGTTGTTAATTCATTTATCATTGATGTTTTTTTAATCTTGTTTTGTTCTACCCTAGCATATACGTGAAAAGGTTGGAGTAGCTCCAGTAGAAGGTAAGATTAGAGAGAGTCGCCTTAGATGGATGGTTTGGTCACATAAAACGACGGCTTTCCGATGACTCGATTAGGAAAGTAGAGGTATTAGATTTGACTTATGTTAAGAAAGGTAGAGGCAGACCTAAAAAGACTTGGTTAGAAAATATTAGAAATGATCTTTCTCTATTAGATTTAAATGAGAATTTGACTTTTAATAGGATACAATGAAGAAAAAGGATTCATGTATCCGACCCCACGTAGTGGGATAAAGGCTTGATGTTGTTGATGTTGTTGTTTTTTTCTACCCATAATACTAGTTATACTCTAGTTTTAATTCTTGTGAATTCAATGTCATGGCATGTACAGGTTTGATATATTGGGTCTTCATGAGTTTGACAGTGAGAGGAAGAGGATGTCAGTTATAGTTGGCTTTCCTGATAAAACAGTGAAGATTTTTGTTAAAGGTGCAGACAGTTCCATGTTTGGTGTTATGGAAAAAAATTTGAATGCGAACATAATTCAGGCAACTGAGTCACACCTTAAAACCTACTCATCAGTGGGTCTGAGAACATTGGTGATTGGTATGCGAGAGATGAATAGGATGGAATTTGAGGAATGGCATTCTTCCTACGAGAAAGCAAGCACAGCATTGTTTGGGAGGGGAAGTTTACTAAAAGCAGTTGCAGCCAACATAGAAAGCAATCTCAGCATATTAGGGGCCTCTGGAATTGAAGATAAGCTGCAGCAAGGTGTTCCTGAAGCTATTGAATCTTTGAGGCAAGCTGGGATCAAGGTCTGGGTATTGACCGGCGACAAGCAAGAGACTGCGATTTCAATTGGTTATTCTTGTAAGCTCCTGACCGGAGAAATGATCCAGATTATAATAAATAGCAATTCTAAGGAGTCATGTAAAAAGAGTTTAGAGGAAGCCCTTGCCACAACCACCAAACTAGCATCAATGCCTCCAGCAGCAGAAACTACTGCAACAGGATTAGGTGCTGGTAGGACTCTTGCTCTGATTATTGATGGGAAAAGTCTTCTCTATATTCTTGAGACAGAATTAGAAGGGGAGGTATGATATCATGAAACTTCAAAATGTTTTCCAAACTATTAATTTCAACCTTTTTTCAACATTATAAAAAGCTATTTTTTGTTCATGTTCGTTTTATGTAGCTTTTCAAAGTAGCAACATCGTGTCATGTTGTTTTATGCTGTCGAGTGGCTCCATTGCAGAAGGCTGGGATAGTTGCTCTAATCAAGAAGAGAACAGATGATATGACCCTTGCAATTGGAGATGGTAATGATGACATCTACATTTAGGAATTGTTGATTTGTTTGAGTTTGTTGGTTCCAGATTTTGATCTCCTTATGCTATGCAGGTGCAAATGATGTTTCGATGATCCAGATGGCTGATGTCGGGATAGGGATAAGTGGGCAAGAGGGCCGACAGGCGGTGATGGCCTCAGACTTTGCTATGGGCCAGTTCAGATTCTTAGTTCCCCTTTTATTTGTTCATGGCCACTGGAATTACCAAAGAATGGCATATATGATATTGTACAATTTCTACAGGAATTCAATTTTTGTATTTGTACTTTTCTGGTAAGTAGTTAGATTTGCTGATAACTTCTCTCAATTTCATTTATTTACTTTCTTAGTAGTTTTTAATTACAATAGCCTCACATTAATTATTTTGCATTAATGTTTTTTTTTTAAATTTGAATCACTTAATTTTTACCTTTTGGAATTATTTACCTGACTCCAAATTATGTTTTGATAATTAGTTAGGTTAAGTTTAATTCTTTACCAGTGGTTTTATGCATAAAAGAGGTTAGCTAGAAATCACAAAAGTAGAAATCTATTTAGATAAATAAAATCAGTTTAACTTCTCTACAATATCGCAGTGAGCATAATTCTTGCGCAGTGTGACCCTTTTGTATTTTCAATTGTAATTTTTGCTTGAACATTGGTTACTTTTGTAACATATTTACCTCTTATAGCAATTGAATTGTATTACCTCATAGAAGGGGATATTAAAATTAGTGAAAAATTCTTGGAAAGGCATCCACGCTCATTAGATTCGGCCCTACAGGACTAGCGGTCAATTGACGTTGTTTTATGAGCCATGCTACCCACTAAAAAATTCAGCACCAAATCAACACAACAATGCAAAAAAAACTTGAAGTGGATGGGCATTCAATTTTTGGTGAAGCATCATGATACAGAAAGGGAAGGTGGGACCAACAGGGGGCGATAGGGTAAGGAATTCAGGCCCTCATGTGGGGCCCATTAAACCTATTATTACATATGTGAGAAGACGAATTAAGGAAGAGATTAATTTTGAAGAATTTTCTAATTGAAATTCAAATTGGAGAGGCAAATATATTAAGAAAGGGGGTTGATTTAGGAAGGGATTAATTATGAAGGACTTCCTAATTGAAATTCATATTTGAGAGGGAAATAATTATTTGGGGGGGGGGTTAGAGTTTGTTGATGTTCTTTATACCTAGGCACATTACATCACTATTATTTTTATGACGGATAAGCAAACGATAAAGTTCTCTGGAGGACTTCAATTTCAATTTAGTAGGCATGCTCAATCCTTGTATGAAGACCATCATGCTTCCTATATCTGGTAGATATGTATTATTGTTTTAGCTCCCATCACATCAATTATTGACTTTTCTTAGTAATAGAGCACAATTTAAGTGCTTCTTTTGTTACCAATTTTTTTCCAAAAGTAATAAAACTATGGGAGAGAGTTATTGAGAATAGGTTATAACGTGATGCTAATGTTTCTCAAAATCAGTTTGGATTCATGCCATGTAGGTCTACTATGAGAGCTATACATTTATTTAGAGGTTTGATGGAGAAGTATTGAAAGAATAAAGAATATCTATATATGATATTTATTGATTTAGACAAAGCATATGAAAAACTCTAAGAAAAATGCTCTGGAGAGTTCTAGAAAATGAGCTAATAATGCTTATATTCATGTTATTAAAGGATATGTATGTATGAGCTATTACTTGTGTTCAAATAAAAGGCGGTTTGTCCAAGTATTTTCCTATTTCAGATAGATTACAACAAGAATTAATTTTAACCTATATCTTTTTTCTTTTGTCATTTTTTCTTTTGTCATTTTTTCTTTAGTCGTGGATATTCTTACTTGATATTTATAAGAGGATGTACCATGGTGTATGCTTTTTTCTGATGATATTCTACTTATGATAACATTAGAGAGGGAGTTGAAAGAAAACTTGAATTAATGAGGTCAAACTTAGAGTCTAAAGGTTTTCATTTGAGTAGATCTAAAATCGAATACGTGGAGTGTAATTTTTGTAGTAATAGATCTTGAGTCTATTGTTCAAAGTGATGGTGAAATAGATGGGGATATTATTAGTAGAATTCAAGTTGAACGGTTGAAGTGGAGGAATTCATTAGGCCTATTGTGTGATAGAAAAGTACCCCTCAAACTTAAGGGAAAATTCTATAAGATGGTCATGAAAAGTGTTGCAGAGATGAGGATGCTCGGATGGATTAGTGGCTTCACTCTTAGAGGCAAAATGCTAAACGACTATATACATGAAAAGGTTAGAGTAGCTCTAGTGGCAGATAAGTTTAGAAAGAGTCGTCTTAGATGGCTTGAACACACAAAAAGTCGGACTTCCGATGACCCAGTTAGGAGAGTAGATTTATTGAATTTGCCCTATGTTAAGAAGTGTAGAGGTGGACCTAAAAAGACTTGGTTAGAAAATATTAGAAATAATATTTTTTTTATTAAATTTAAATGAGAATTTGACTCCTAACATGACAAAATGAAGAAAAAAGATTCATGTAGTCATCCCCACATAGTGGGATAAAAGCTTGATGTTGGTGTTGTATGTTGCAACCAGTTAATTTATTCATGGCCATCATAAAGGGGATGAAATCGAGCAACCATTTTATAGTTATATGACATTAGTCCTATATTTGGCCCACTTTGATAAGACTATCTGATGACTTGGAGACTCCAGCTACAGTATTGAAAGCATGTTTTTGACATCCATGCTGCTTGGAAGAGGAATAGAAGCAAGTCAGTCTCTTTATCTTATTGTAGAATATATTTATGCAGAGGATAATTAGAACGATTAAATTGAACGGCTCCAATGCAGCACACAAGAACATTATTTGATACCTTAATTCTCTTGCGGTTTTTCTTTTTCTTTGAGGGTTCAGAAAAGGGTGGTCATGACTCGGATATTGATTTTTTTTAATAGTATTAAGCAATACCACCTCTAAGAAACACTGCATTCTCATCCATGACTTGAAGCTGATTCCTGGCAGATTTATGATTTAGGCTTCGCTTGGGACGGTTTTTTTACTGCTTCTTAAAGTAACTTCTTAGTACAAAAGTTTTAAATTTTGTGCTATAAAGCTACTTTAAGAAGCAGTAGGAAAGCCGTCCCAAACAAAACGTTAATGTAGGGGAAATTGGTTTTCATTGCATCTTGTTGCGTTTTGCAAGTTGCTGTTCCAATCTTTATCCATATTTTGTTTTCACTTCTCTTTTTCACTCACCTTCCAACTAATGTAGCTGTCCCTGTTTGTGCAGGTATGTACTATATACAGCTTTTAGTTTAACAACTGCAATCACAGAATGGAGTAGTGTCTTGTACTCAGTTATCTATACTGCTCTCCCTACCATAGTTATTGGAATTCTTGACAAGGATTTGAGTAGGAAAACGCTTCTGAAGTATCCACAACTCTACGGTTCCGGCCAAAGAGAAGAAAGATACAACCTAAAGCTCTTTATTCTTACTATGATGGATTCTATTTGGCAAAGTTTAGCCATCTTCTTCATTCCATATCTTGCTTATCGGCACAGTACAGTGGATGGATCCAGCATTGGTGACCTCTGGACCCTCGCAGTAGTTATTATGGTGAATATTCACTTGGGTATGGATGTTTTCAGGTGGAATTGGGTTACACATGTATCCATATGGGGCTGCATTGTTGCAACATTCATTTGCGTCATCATCATAGATGTGTTGCCCATTCTTCCAGGATTCTGGTAATTCTCTCTTTCACTTCGTCTCTTAGTTTCTTCCACAAACTAGAAATAATTTTTCTTGCAGTATTGTTTGCATATTTATCCTTGTTAGTGGCATTATATGAACAAGTTTGTGAACTATAGAAAGAAACATTTCAAGAGGAAGAAGATATTCAAGTTGAGTAGATAGAAATTGATTCCATCCCTACTCAAAGGGGCGGAACCAATCATAATTTTCAAGGGGGGCAAACTTATAAGTACCTGTTGGCAGATATGTCGGGGGTCCAACCAAGGGGGCAGAGCCCCCTGGCAGGGTGAACAAATTTTGATTAACTATTTCTCTTTGTATTTGGTTCATCATTCCCTAACAATAACAACTCTACATAATATATTTAATTATACTGTGGGCAATTGTCTAAATATCATAGTATTTTAAAACTTTTAGGGGGGGGATTGCCTAAAAACCTTTGTAATAAAGACTAAAAAAATAGATTGAGGGGGACAAATTATCTAAATAATTGTATAATGAAAAAAAAAAAAAAAAAAGAGTTGGGGGGGGGGGGGGGGGAATTACCCCTCGGGATCAAAGGGGTTCCGCCCCCGCCTACTCATGCACATTTCTAGCATGCTCATGATTTGCTGAACTTTCATCTCTATTCTATATACAATAATACATGTATTTGAAACCTTTCATCCATGATTGTTCCTGTTCAGAGCTCAAATCATCTTCTCGTTTCATTTGTCAGGGCAATCTTTCATGTAATGGCGACATGGGTATTCTGGTTTTGCTTGGTTGCCATCCTTGTGGCAGGGATGATTCCTCGATTTACAATGAAGGCTTTTTCCGAGTTCTTCTTTCCGAGCGATATCCAGGTTGCCAGAGAACTAGAGAAGTTTGGAAACATAAATGAGAACCGAGTTTCTGAAGTTGCAATGAGCACTTTCTCAAACAACCAACAACAGAGCATACTGTAGATTTTTGTTATCTTTCAATTCTTCCAATTTCATCTTTTTTTTATGTTTCTTTGTGTATATAAGCAATTCTTTGAGCTGTTGATGCGGTTTAAGGTCGCATGCAAGCTGCTTGTTAGCCTATTCAAAGGGTTAGATTTGTAGTTCATCTTCTTCTGTATTTATAACATTTTGTTTTTCTTTACTAATATCTCAAATGCAAATTAGAGTTATACACATTATACGTTAGATTTCTTCTTCTACCCTCCTCCGGCTCTTGTTTTATTTTGATGATATTTTAGAGAAGAAATGATTTTGTTCTTGCATTAGGTTTCATTTAGGACGGCTTTCTTACTGTTTTTTAAAACAATTTTATAGTGGAAAAATTCTTTGAACTAAAATTTTTGTGTTAAATGTTATTTTAAAAAGCAGTAAGAAAGTCTTCCCAAACGAAATCTTAAATGTAAAGGTTACAACATCAAAATCTAATTATATTGAGGATTATATTGCAACATTAAGAAGAAATTATTATCCTTTTAGAAGGATTTGAACATTTACCCTCACATTATACCATGCATTTATATCCTTGAATAATTGAAATAAGTTGTTATCATGCCATTAAGAATGTCAAGAATAGATGACTAGTTCAAATCTCTAACATTTAAAGATGTAGATGGATGATATAAGATGTATAAAAGTTTGTATCTTTCTAAAAAGGCTTTCCCTTTATCTTTCTCATTACATATGTGAGCTTACTTAGATTTGATCACTACCTTGCTTAGTTGAAGTTCAATTTAATTTACATTTTGGTTGAAAAAATTCAGCACTAATTGAAACATTTATCTGAGAGATTGTTTGGTTGCAAGTAAAATAGATGATGACATTTCTTTAGCATGAGGGGAAGAAATTAAGGAGTTAGATTGAATGCTCAGGACAAATTCATTTTAAGTCTTCTCCAAGTTGCGGACCAAGTTGATTTTTTTTTCAAAAATAATGTTAAGCGTAGTAAACGCAAATCCAAAAAGAAATGATTTATCTTTTTTGGATTTTTTTTGGATTGCTGGTTAATCTTGAATTTGATTTTATTGCTGCATCTTTATTGGGTCAGGACAATGATGAAGTAGGTTTCCTGCATGCTTCTTAGACGGCCATGGCTTGGTTGGCAACTTAGGTGGTTCTTTGGTTTCTCATCTATTTTCATTTTCCATCATTGGATAGTCCCAAGCTTGGCAACTAGGGGCAATCTGAGTCCAATTGGTTGGGGGGATTTATGTTGATTTCATTTAGATTGCTTGGCCCGGTCGTTTATTGTAATTTTCTGGCTGTAATTTCATCTATGTGGCAAAAAAAAAAAATGTTTGGTTGCAAGTATTCCCTTTCTTTGAGTCTAGCGTGTCTCTGCTAGGGTTTTATCATCTGGCGTGTCGTGCTCTCGAGGAAGCCTCTGCCTTCTCCTTTTGGTTTTATTTTGGTGTGGTTTTCTCATTTTGTTTTCTGTTTCATCCACCTCCGGCCCATGTGGAGGAATGTTAGTGAAACCTAGGGTCGACCTTAGTTTTTTTGAGGGGTCAACTAAATCTTGTTCTTTTGTAGATGCATTATCTAGTCTTTCCTCTGATGCTTGTTTTTCTGATCTCAAACCTTTGACTTTTTTTGGTTTGCCTTCCCTTTGAATTTTGGATGAAGAGGTTCTCGCGCTTGCGGCTCCTTTGCATTCCACATTGGTTGATTTTTTCCCTCTCGGCATCCGAGTCTCGATGTTTTTTGGAAGTTTTTCTTTGTTCTTAAGCTTAATGATGATTTCCTTATAACTTTGTTTAATCATTCGCATGTGTTGACTAAGTTGGTGAATGACCTAGACTAGAACAGAATTTTCTCTCATAGATCCTACTTTGTTAGCAGATGTTATATGAAGTTGACTAAATTGTCTCCTCTACTAGAGATTGGTGTGGAGTCCCCTGTCATACCTATTTGGATATCGTTTTGCAATCACTTTTTTTTCGCCCCACATTCTTCACGGACTAGGTTCATTATTTGGTCGTCCGCTTAAGGTGGAACATGCGACCTCTGTTGGCTCATGTCCCTTTATTGCGTGTGTCAGTTGAGCTTGACATTACTAAAAATATATTCTAATAAAGTTTGGATTGGTCCTGAAAATTTTGGTTATATTCAGCATGTTGTGATAGAGGAATTTCCCCATTTTTGTGCACAATGTAAATCGATTGTTCATTTATCTGATGAATGTCGTTCTTCTATTCTGGTGATTGATTCAGATAATCATAATACTTTTGAAGAAAATGCTAATGCTGTGGTAGAAACTATGGCTATTGCTGATCCTGTGGATAATGGTTGGTGTGTTTATTAAGGGAAATATCATTGATAAAACTTAGGTTGCTGGTCTTATTGAGGGGACAACTCATCTATTGTCTGTTTCTCCTTTGGCTTCTTCTTGTGGAATCAACGAGGGTGTTGTTAAGGCTTCTAAGCCTAACCCTTGCTTAGTCAATTTGGTAGCTAGTCTTAATGCTTATTCTAATTCTAATGTTGATGTCGGCAATGATTTTGTCCCTCTGGACCTTGTGGACCGAGAGATTGTTAGCCCTGTTGGTGGGCTTGTGCTTGTTGTGAGTGGTGAGTTTGGTAATGCTTTGGATACTCACACTCATCTTAGTGCTTCTTTTCCTGATGGTATTGAACATATGGCTAAAAATGTTGATGTGCATATATTTGTTATTTCCAATGATGCTTTGTTAGATCATATTGCTTGTAAATCGTGGGATAATGAGGTTATGCATGGTGACTGGTTAGATGAAGAAAATTCTTCAGCTGGTGGGGAGGAAATTAATGAGAAAGAATTAGATTTTTTGGATAACTTTGATTTAAATATTATTCAAATTGTTGAGAATTATTTTTTAACAAGATTGATAAGCGTAGACGTCTTAAATGCAAAAAAGAAATGATTTTTTCTTTTTTGGATTTGTCCTTCTTTATGCTATTGAGGCCTGCTTGGTTGGGGCTGGCTTTTCTTTTGGATTTTTGTGGGTGATGCTATCTATTTTGATGACTGTGCCATTTTGGGGGTTTGGTTTGTTGGTGTTGTTGGGGGCTTGTTTTACGGTTGTTGCTTTCTTTTGTAGCCCGGGTAGTGATGAGTCAGTTTTCTGATCATCATATGGACAGTCGTAGCTTGATGGCAACCACTGGTGGTGCTTTCTCTTACTCTGCTTGGTGACCTTTGTGTGGGATGTGATATTATGCTTGTCCCTTTTTCGCCTTCATTGTGTGGGATGTTGCTTGCTTCCTCCTTTGGATGGTCCTTACCTAGCTTCTAGGTGGTTGAAGAAAGCTTCTTGTCAATGGCTAAGCCCGGCTGGTTTTTGCCTTCTTCACTGTTTGTTTTCTCTTCTTTACTGCTAATAGCATTGTAATTTTTGTATTGTCTTTTGTTGGACTTGCTTGTATCCTCATTTTATTAATAGAATTTAATCTCTTTAAAAAAAATGTTTGGTTGCTTGTATAAATTATATGAAGTAAAAGAAAGTTTGAGAGTTTTAAAATTTTTATGTTTAGTTGGAAGAGAAATAAAAATGGAGCAAATTTTGAGGATATTTGAAATTATATATCTAATATATTTTTAATGTATTTCAAATTCAACCGATCTAAATGAATTTTAAATAAACTGTGTATATGAAATGAGGTTGGCGCCAATTTATCACTATATGATGTCTGCCACCTCAGTACCCCCTCAGTTCATTACCACCAGATCATATCTGAATTAATTTATTTAAATCAATCAAAAAATAATAATATCCTAATTTCATAAAATAATTTAAAAATATTTTCAGTACACTATATTATTTTTTACTTCATAAAACTGACGGGCCCCTTAAATAACTTATCACAAGTTTACTCTGTGCGGTTGATGGGCTGGGCCTGTTTTTTCAGCTGAATTCATCAAATTTCAGGCATGTCTTCATGAGAAGCATAAAGTTTGCTAAGGCCTATATGACTGCCCGAAATTATAAATTATATATTAAAAAATAATGAATATTTTAAATTTATCATTTAACTTAATGAAATTTGATTGCATATTAATATTAATTTTAAACTCCAAAAACTTCCTAAAAACTCTCTCAAAAAATGAGAATTATAATTTCATATTTAAAATGAATATAAATAAAATCATTATTTTCTAAAATATATTTTTTCTCAAAAAATAAACAAATAACGCTCTAAAAATGTTCTTGCAAAATAAATAATTAGTTTTGAATAGTTGAATTGAAACAAAATTTATAAATTAACTTTTAATCACTTGTAATTACTCATTTCTAAACAAAATAGCCAAAGGAGAGACGATCACTTGAGTTTGATAACAAACTTTTTTATGGTAAACAAGAGACAATAAAAAATAATTATAATATATAAAATATTAAACTTAGTATGAGAATCTTTAATCTTTATTTAACTTAGGCTTCATTTGGGATGACTTTCTTAATTATTATTTCTTAAATCAGCTTTGTAATATCAAAATTTTAATTTTGTACTAAAAAGTTGCTTTAAGAAGCATTAAGAAAGCCGTCCAAAATGAAGCCTTAGTTTGTTTAATGACTTAAGAATTAATAATCTTAGAGTAAGAGTCTATTTGAGGAGAAATTATTACATATAGAGTCTGAATGTAGCTTGTGTTCTTACTCCAATGAAATCAAGCCACATTGTTTGTAGATAGGGTGTACCTTGTATACAAGTTGTACATAAGGTGTGTACAAATCACTTGGCTTGATTTCATTTGAGTCCAGACGTGTTCGGACTCCGCTCTCCTGTTTGACACAGCTTTCTCATTGCTTTTGCTAATTTTAATGCAAATCCAATGACTTTAAAATTCTTAAAAAGAATTGAAAACAATTGTTGATCAAAATTAAAATCCTTAGATATGCTTTTAGATGAGTGCAATATAAATTCATTATATAGTGTACTCATTTTTAAGCAGATCCAAAGATTTTAAAGCTCATCCTAATAAGTTTTTGAGTCTAAGACCTCGTTTGAGATAATTTTTTATTATTTTCTATAATTATTATCGAAAAATTAACTTTTAAAAAACTGATGTGGAAAGTAAATTTTAACTGTAAAAATATTTTGAAAAAAAAAAAGAAAAAGAAATTATTATTGTGATCCGAAAATGAATTCAATTTTTTTTGGAAGAAAACTTATTAAAAAGCTATCCTCTTTAACTATATGAGCATATAAAACAA